AATTTCGTCTGATTATGAGTGTCCCTGACAGTGCCGGAACGTGGATGGTAGATAAATATGAAGCGAGGAGAAACGACAAGGCTCTGATTAAATATGAATAGAATGTTTTTGACTTAATGCAGTGATGTATTTTATTCCTTTTATATGTGATGGAGGCTGTACATATGTAATGTTCCCACTGAATCAAAAGATATCATTCGTGTAATAATTGAAATCCTTTATTTATATGGTTGTTTCAGCGAGAAATGAATGTTGTAATAGTTGACAGTAAACCTAGCACAATTCAGGTATCATTTCTTGTTTTTCACGGTTTATGGTGTCAAAATTTGAAAATGTAGAAACCTTTTTTTCTTTGGCCTGCCTTGTTTTTTTCGCCCTGTCTGCGGAGGATGTCATCCATAAATTTACTTGCTATGGCCTAACATGCTTGGCCAGGGGGTTACAATGTACAATGTATGACATCGAAGTCTAGCAACCACAATGACGCAACTGACACATCATGCTTTTGAAGAAGTTTTTATCTGATGTCGTTTTTTGCATCTACATATGAAGCGCAGCACAAGTCACAAGTAATAGTCTTGTTTAAATGAAGAATTAACATCTAAAATTAAGTACAATGAGGATTCTAAAGGGCATCGAAAGCGATTTCAGGACAGTGAAACGGGATTTGAAAAGTCAATTTTCTGGTCATTTTAATGCAGTAGGTTGAAACCTTTTTCCATGGTGTAATGATATCTGTGAGGCAAATGTGTGATACTGCTGACGTAAAACGGTTGTTCGTTACATATCGTAGGCTTTCACAGGTGGTACCGAAATAGCTTGTTTTAGGGCTGTTTTAAAAGATTCAGTATTAAATGATGTTAAAATGTGATAGGAAATGGCAGTAAATATAATTTGCGGACAGATCTGTTCATCTGTTTTTTTACACCACGAAATCGCATTGGATGCCTTACAACTATTCTGCCAGCATCCCTGGTTACAACCAAAAACAAAACAAAATCAAAACAGCGTTATTAGTTGAAATGACTGAAGTATGTATTCTCTGACTGATAATTATAAACCACTTTTACAGTTAACAGCCTCTACTGATATATTCAAATTTCTCAGGTCAATGGATGACAGTTAGGTTACATGTAAACAAGATGTTTGAAATTGTACGGAACACTGTAACATACTAGAATGGCGTGCATAACAAAAAAAAACTAACATACCTGGGGCATACATGGAAGTTGCATTGGCAGGCAACGCGGATGTACACAAAATCATTGTTGGTAATTTTGAAAATCTCGTTGCTGGGAAAACTTGGAAGCAGAACTGCTGATTTTTCTGGTATATATATAGGAGGACATTATCATGTAGAACGCAGCCTTGTGGAGTTTTAAAGACTTTAGGGTGTGGGAAAAGTAAGTTTGTCAATGCAACCACGTTGCGGACAAATTAAAAAAAAAGGGTATCCGTAACTTGAAAATGAGCAGAACAAAGTCCTGTTTTTTTCTCTCCAACCTAGACCTAGGTAACAAGCATCTACATAGAAATGGTCACGAGAGGTTTCAAAGCTGAGTCATAAATTTTGCACAGCTTCTTTTCGTGGAGTTTTTTTTTTTTCATTTGAAGCAATGGTGAATGCCCTTTCTCTGCAACTGACATGCATGCCCCTATTAAAGATAGACTGGTTTCTGAGCGGCAAGCAGGGCTCTACCTACTATTTGAAAATGTTAGGTCTAGAACGACATCCTACCAGACTACTGTTCTGTTGTCGTCGGCATCATCCGTTGTTGTATCCAGAACCGTGCTTTATCTAGAACCATGCTCAGGCCCTGCGTATCCAGAACCATGCCTGGGTCAAATTTAGTAGACGTTATTCGATACGCAGAGACTATCCAGAACCACGCCTGATCTCAACGCTAACCCATTTAGAACTAGAACTAGATAGGCACTGTTCTGGAATCTATATCTGTACCTCAGTCACAGATGCTCAGTGTGCGGAAGCACCTAGGCGTCCGCAACGCCGCGTCCACACACTTTGATACCAACGAGGTTGCCGCAGCCATCTCTGGGAGTGACAAATAAAACAGAACAAAACGTTTGTACGCATTTATTTTAAAAAAAGATGCAGTTACGCATTGTGAAGAGGCGTCGATGTGTAATATTAGAAAGGCATACATTTGCTCGGGACGAAATACAGTGTATTTTTAGCCCACTCTCCTTCCCATTCCACAATAAAATTCCAACATTTACCATCGGGTAGCAAGTGTTTCAATACTCCTACGTTTGTAACAATTGTTCTCGAAACTGCCATACAGTATTTTTCGTTGTTCTGTTGTAGTTCGTTTTAGTAATGAATATTCTGATACCCCAATGTAGAGCTTTTTAAGTGATCTAGAAACCCATATGGATTTTTTTTTTCATAAAACGTGTTCTCGAAACCCCCATAGCGCTTTTCAGTACCAGATATTCTTTAACCCCCCATTTGATATCTGTTAGCTATCGCCACCAAGAATTTACTTGGAGATCATCTATCCATACCACCGTGTATCTGCTACGAGATTAACTTTCCACACAATTCCGTATCTGCTCAACGCTTAAAGATCACACTGAGTTTGACCCAATTTATCTTAATACTTAGCAACCAATCAGCCAGCAGAACAACCCTCACCTGTAAAATAGGTGCCATGCAATATGGGCCGCAACATGGTGTGTTTTCATATGCCATATACTAGTATGTTAATGTAATACACCTGTACTAACTTCTTTGTCTGCATTGGATAACGTTCAGTGCGGTCCGACAGCCACCCGCACGCGCAGTGCTCGAGTCCGTCCCGCCAGGCCTCGTACAGCTGGTGGTAGGTGGCGAGGGAAGCGCCCTGCTGTTCACAGGCGTGTTTGGCTTCGGCAAAGTCGTACTTGTAGCGTCCTGCTGGAGATCGTACAGGGAAGATCCGTCCTAAAGAAAATAATAAATTCCATCCTAGTGTGTCATTGGGATTTTTTTTACTGCAACTCTCGCCTTCAAAGGCGGGAGGTCGATTCTACGATTCATGATATTAAAAAAGCTGCGAACATTGGTGGTGAAGCAATTATACTAGTATATTACGGCGTTTACATTTGTATCATTTACCTACTCAAGGTCATGTTAAATGCGTTTGCCTTTGCATGTACATGTACATATAAACACCTCTGGTGCCATGGAAAGAAGAGACTGTTCATGTAGATCGCAGATAGGTCACGTAGGGAGACATCGTGCGAGGAAGGAGGTTTCTGGTTGCAAAGCACTAAAATAGCCCCAACAAGAATGTGGAAATCTCACACCTCCATGAAATATATAGATCTTGTATGATAGTGACTGTGTCTTCTTCTCATTCACCATGGTATCTACAAGTCTTTCTTTGTTGTGCAAGGGAACATCACTACGGTTCAAGGAGGCCATATACGAAAAACAGCGAGTGCTAACACATGTAGACACAGTACTAGTCTTCTTTTTGAACAGGCTGAACCTAACCATATTCATTACAACATATTTAGGGCCATGCAAAACATATATATTTACACACATGCAGAGACCTACCAAAAACCAATCCCTCCATTTT